GATGGGCAACACTTGGTTACCAAAAGATAGAAATACAAATGCACGGAGCCACCAGCAGGAGCCAACCGCACATTTGTGGTTTCAGTTGATAGAGCTTCAAATCCTTTTTGTAACTTACATTTTTGGATTTTTCCCTCCTCCTCTTGGTAAGGGAAGAGTTTTCTCCAATGTCATTCCTCCTTATGCTTTTTCCAAATATTCCATTGTCCTAATCACAAAATAAACTCCACTATTCGACAATAATATGACCCCACTAGCACAATTTCGAATAGATACTGATATAGTATAATTCCATAGCTGAAAGGTTGCGGTAACAAAACCCTGGACCCAGATTGGATTTTGTTTGATTGAAAAGTTTACATTTTCTCATGACATATCCCAGAATTCTACTACTGTTATTGATTACATAATCTATATGTTCAATGAAAATAATTTTGGAGTCAAAAATAACTCCTATTTCTTTAATTGAATCAACTCGTGAAAGCAAGTTATTATTGATGTGATATAAAAATGAAAATATATTGACAAATTATAAGTTTTATAATGTGTGGTTACACACAATTGTACAATACAATTGTTGGAAGATCAATGTAAATTTTTCATTTCTAGATGTTTCCCTCCTCTTCTTGGTAATGGGGAAGTTTTCTCCAATAGCATTCCTCCTTATGCTTTTTCCAAACAGTCCATCATCCCCATTGGCACAATTACGAATTGATACTGATATATTATAATTCCCCAGCTGAAAGGTTGCGGTAACAAAACCCCGGACCCAGATTGGAGCCGAAGCAGAGGCGGCCGCAGCCAGGCTTCCAGTCGGCAAAACAGTCCGCCTCGAGAAACGACCGCAGCTCCGATCGCCCCGCGATCCAGAAGAGCTTCGAGAGTGGCTCGCCAACATAGTTACGACGAAGAAGTGAAATCCGGAGCCGCACCTGCCAACAACGTGGACAACGGCCTCGCATTACCTCCGCCTATGCCCAGGAGGGCCTCCGCCTATGACGTTTTCTCGGTGCCTGGTTTGAGCACAGTGACTGCTCCTGCTGGTGTCGGCCGAAGAGCTTCGTTCAGAATCGCAGCTCAAGAACCAAGCAGTCCTCCGAGTCCGGAAACTGGTTCCCCCGCAGTCTTGGTGGCACCTGAAGAAGATCGTAGAACGCGAAGAAGAGGATCCCACTTGTAAGTTCTATATATTCAGCATTTCGGCATATTCGTTTCTGGTATCTTGCTTGAAAGTTATTTTTCCTCATAGCGAATTCAGAGTGTGGTGAGCAGAGCAAAGCCCAAGGACATCCTTTTGCTGGGTCCTTGACGAGCCGAACCATTTTTTCACTCTCTTTGTACACACATAAAAAGTCTAGGAAACAAGATATTACATGAAATTGGGAAGAACCAGGTGAAAACTGAAAGACATTCAATCCACGAAGTAGTTTTAACTTTTAAAGAAGCAAACGTAACAAAAAAAAATTCAAGAATATAACTTGCCTCTTTCAGTGATACAAAAAATAAAATCATGGAGAAAGCCGTAAACCACTATATCCTTGGATATTTGGAAGGCTTCAACGTCTAGAGCGATCATCAATATGACTTTCGGAAACAAAGATCAACAGGCGACCTTTCATCACATGTCACTTATATTTGAAATAACGCAATCGAAAAACATGTAGAGTCAAGAGCTGTTGCGCTTAATATTTATAAGGCATTTTACCGTTTGTGGAATGAGGATTTGCTGGCCGAACTTCGATGATATGGCTTGTTGGAACATTTTTGTGTATGGCTCTCCAGCTACCTGGAAGAACGTTCCCTGCCAGTGACCGTCGGTGGATATAACACGAATACTATTATCATTAACGTAGGTATTCCCCAGGGATCCATATTGTCTCCAATTTTTTATGGTATATCAACAACTTATTGGAAAAAACAATAATCCAATATATCGCTTTGCTGATAACAGCACATTTGTCTCGTCATTCCATTTGGATTCTGAGACTTCGGCTGCGGATGCACATCTTCACCAGCAGCATAAAGTTGCATATTTAATGAGGATCTAGAGGTGATTTCGAATTGTGGTAAAAGAAACCAGGTTCAATTCACTGCCCCGAAAACCAAGGTATCGGTTTTGTCCAGAAAGATAAGTGTTTCCGAACCGGATGTAATAATGTCAGGACAGGCAATTCCGCTTTCTGTTTCGATGACTTTGTTGGGGTTAAAATGGACAGCAATATGTCTTGGCACAATTATGTGGCTGGAATTGCAAAGGCTGCTTCTCAAAAGCTTGAAACACTATTCTTAACCAGAAAACTGTACACACCTCAGCAACTTTTGATGCTTTATAAAACTCGGATCAGACCTTCTTTGGAGTATTATTCTCACGTATGGAGCTCCGACCCTAAACATACCCTGAAGCTGCTGGATTCTATCCAGAAAAGAGCCATCCGCCTGATTGGAGATGCGAACATCACTTGCAACCTTGATAGTCTGGAACATCGAAGAAAGGTTGGGGACTTGCCTCTCTTTTAAAGATACTTTCACGGGAGCTGTTCAAGTGACCTGGCATATTTGATTCCACCAAGAGCGATACATACATTCAAATCCAACATGAATCGCTACTTTCGCACAGACACCGCTCTTAGAGCGCCCTAAAGATATTTCTGTAGTGCTCGTGTTTTGTCCTCAAAAAAATCCAAGATCAATCTTGAGCACTTCGCCACGGTAATCGAAGAAAACAGTGAAAAAACCTTGACATTGGATCAAACTTGCAATAGCACTATTTGGTGCTAATTAAGTGCTAAACGGTGAGGATCGTAAAATCTTCTAATTAATAAACAAAAGTTTCCAATTTCGCTAAACAACAGATCTAAGAATCAGGTCTCTCGAAAACGAGGACGAATGCTCTATCAGGTATAAACTAAGCATGGTAATAAAACTACTTTCGCACAGACACCGCTCTTAGAGCACCCTAAGGATTTTTCTGTAGTGCTCGTGTTCTGTCCTCAAAAAAATCTAAGATCAATCTTGAGCACTTCGCCACGGTAATCGAAGAAAACAGTGAGAAAACCTTGACATTGGATCAAACTTGCAATGAAAATGATTATAAAATAATGAATGTTAAGGGGACACTATTTGGTGATAATCAAGTGCTAAACGGTGAGGATCGTAAAATTTTCTAATTGATAAACAAAAGTTTCCAATTTCGCTAAACAACAGATCTAAGAATCAGGTCTCTCGAAAACGAGGACGAATGCTCTATCAGGTATAAACTAAGCGTGGTAATAAAGTGTCAATTAGGTGCTTGCAAGAAATTAAGATGAAAACAAAACGGCGTAACAGAGCTTGCTTTTATTGGTCTTGACTCTCCTGAATTTTTCCATTAGGACTAGTGGACTTTAATATCGAAGTATTAACCATCTACCCATAATTCGTCACACCTTTTGAGCCTTTTTAGCAAATCTGGATCATCGTTGACGTCATTCAACAATTCCTGAGCAATGCTCATGCAACGGTTTTTTTTATCGAAATTCGGCTATTTTGAAATGAACTTTGCTGCCACATACTTGTACACGGAAATTTCGCGCAAACTCTGGAGTCCCTCAAGGATCAAACTTGGGTCCATTAATTTTTCTTATATTCATTAATGATCTAACTTAAAATTCAAAGTCTGAGTATCTCTTATTCGCAGATTACCTTAAATTTTATAGACAGATCGAAAACTCTCAAGATTGTGTCAAACTACAAAAGGACATCAATAGTGTTCATCGATAGAGTGTGAAAAATGATCTTCCGTTCAATATATCCAAATGTTCTGTCCTGTCTTGTACTCGAAAACTAAATAAGATACTATACAATCATTCAATGAATGGTTTTGAATTATCCAGGGTAGAGACTGACCAAGATTAAGGGATATACTATAACTCCACACTCTCATACAAACCACATTTGGATTACATGAGACATGTAATGAGACAAAGTGCACATTTCAATGATATTAAAGCGATTACTACACTTTATAATAGTTTGGTCAAATCTAAACTTGAATACGGGGCTATAGTATGACATCTTTTCTATATTGTTCATAAAAATTGATTAGGAAAAATTCAAAACAGATTTTTGAGATATTCATATTACAAAGAATATAAAGTATACCCGATTATAATACAATTAGAACAGTAGTACCACGAAACGAATTTAAAATACCCAGTCTAGAAAATATAAATTAGGCAAGTATAGTATTAATGTGTATATAGAAAAAATTTCAACTGTCCCAATCTCAAATCTTTACTGAAAGAGAGAATTCCCAGAAGAACAACAAGACTCATTCAATTATTTGATGTACCATATGTATCAACAAATAACTGTTAACCTAGCATTACAATGATCAAAATAACAAACAACTTCCTGTTAATGTCAGATATCAACTTTGTTCTCCCTCCCAAACAAGTTTATAGTGATATAAAAACGTACTTTTCAAGCTTAGAATAACTTTATGTTTTTTCCTTAACTAAATGTTGTATCCAACTTTTGTGCTTCTCACCAACAAAAGAAACATACTAAACAGCTAAAACAATGAACATATATTCGAGACAATTGCACTACCCTAAAAATAAAGAAAAAAATCACCAGTCTTCTTTTCACGTATTCCATCATTACTTTCCATGAGTCAGCAATTGAAATGAGGAAATTTGTTACGATAGATAAAGTTGGATACCAAAACATTATTATTACACATCAGCAGTGACAGGGTTGAAATCGGTTATAAATGCAAGAGAAATTTATGGCAATTACTCACCCCGTCGAAAAACCTTTTGAAAAATCAATATTCTTACCGTTAGTCACGATAAAAATCTATATTTTCACTGATATCTAAGGTAGTAATGTTTGGGATGATAAATGAAACTTGCTATTAGGGAAATAATTTGGCCCAATGACAGAAATACTCACTATTTGAACTCCAAAAGCAGTAATGTCTCTTTCATTGATTTTCAGAATATTTTTGGTACGAATTATTTATGAACTCATTGATTTCCCATATTTTTTTATACCTTTGAATATTCCACAAACATTAATATTCATTTGCCTTTATACCACCAGTATTCTTCGGAAATTAATAATGTTTTCTTTTCAATTTTCATATACATTATAACAGGTTGTTGAGTCAATACTTGAAAAATCTCCAGAAACTTATGCAACGGATTGCTTTGTAAGCTTTCTCCTGAAGAAACGGCGATAGAAAAAAAACCGGCAGTGGCATCTTCCCACGGCAATACGTCATTTCAGGAATCGATAGAAAACTCAATCTACGAATATCAAGATTCGTCCTCTGTCTTTCTCTAAAGCTTCCACTGTTGAATCAGAGCCTGAAAATAAGATGATGATGCAACATCAGACAGCGCTATTTCGACCTTCATGTGTCTCATAAGTTATACTAAGGTAGAAAATGAATACATTACTGGATTCGACTGTCCTTGAAAAATAAGCCCGGGTAGGAGAGAGCAATGACATTTTCCCCACGAATACGTTATTACTGGGATCGGTGGAAGACTCCACAAATATCAAAGATGAACGAGGCTTCCAAAGGCAGGTTTGTTGAAAAGCCAAACTTCAATATTGACTGCCGAACGAGATTCGTCCTCTGTCTTCCACTACAGCTTTCGCTACAAGTTTTCTAGTTGGAACCAGAGCCCAAAACAAATCAGACACCAGACAGCACTATTGCGACCTGCCATAGCTATTATTAGTGGTACTAGGCTAAACCAAGAATGTATTGCTGGAATCGACTGTCCATGAGAGCCTGAAACCTGCTTCCTTCAACACACAGAGAAAAAATGTTGAATGGAATTTTTTTTTATTCAAGCAAGAACCGCATCAACCACAGAGGGTCATTAGCGGGTTACTTTGCAAGTTATAATAGATATATACACTCATATATAGATATATACACACATATATACGAACTTCATATTTGATTGTATACATTAATTTCCTTTATAAATTGTAAAGGTTTCTCCACATTGTTATTCAAAGTAAGTTTTATGTTCTCACAGATGTTTATTAGTTTTCGTTCTTCATTGTAGTAGGGGCAGAGACATATGATGTGTTCCACTGTCAACGGGGTATTGCAAAATTCACATAATTTGGGAGTTTGTATATTCAGATGATTGAGAGCATGCTTTCTGTATGTG